AGCGGCCGCCTCGTCCCAGAATGCCGTGCATGGCGCGTCATTGAAGAGAGACCATGATGGCGGCGGCCGTGGCGGTGGCGGTGGGGGGAGCCCCCGAGGTGATCGCCCAGCTGGAGAACGCGGCCAAAGTGTTGATGGTGAGGGCGCCGCGCTGGGGAGAGGAAGGCGGCGGGCCGGGCGGAGCGGCCCCGCGAGGGAGGAGGCGGGCCGGGCAGGGGGGGTTACTCTTTTTTGGGGGGAGGGAAACCCTGCGAGTTTCCCCCATCCTTGGGGAGAGTCTGTTCTTCCGATGCCTCCCCAGCTCTCTTTCTGGGAGTATCCTCGGATAACCTCGCGGCGCCGCGTCGCCTTTCCCTCCCGCCTTACAAACTTTGCAGCTGCCTCCTTCTGCCTCGCTGGAAGCGGCGATCCTGTTTACTTAGGATAAGGTCCCGTTGACCTTAGAGAGAGGGTTGCTTCCGCGCAAAGCCGCGTACGATCGCGCCGTTTGCTTTTCTTGGCTTTTGGCTCCTCTCTTTTTTTTTTGTACAGGATAAGCCTTTGCTTTTCCGCAGAATGGTGCGGGACTTTTGCTCCCCTCGCCTCCTTAATCAGGTTCGCCGCCAGTCCTCTTCGCTTCTGCCATCCACGTGTTCAAATCCTTAATCCATGGCCTCTTCGCCCTGTTTTCTTCACCCTTTCGGAGCATCGCTCTTCCTTCTTAATCACCATTTGTAATACCAGAATCTACTAACACAAACGGTATTTTCTGTCCATTGGCGTATGTCTCCCCCTGTACTTTTTCCTTAATGCACACCATCCTGCGTGTACTGTATTTCTCCTATATAAATCCAAACTGGGCTTGAAAACCTGCACTTGAAACCTTTTAACAAGCAATTGTAAAAAAAAGTGCAGTCAAAAAGCAAGTGTTGGCTATGGGGGGGGACCCCGAACCAGTATTGGTGTAACGCCTTGAATGGGCCAATGGAAAGGATCAAAAATGTGTGCAAGATTTTGTGATCTCTCCATCAGGCAAGATGTTACAATATGTTTGAGTTAATACTTGGATTTTATGTTTTAAAAAATGGAGGATCAACCCTTGGTGCCTTTCTTCCTCCCAGTATGCTTTGGGGTTACTTGAGGTGAAACCTAGAACTTCAGATCACCTGATGGAACTTTATTTGAATGTCTTAAAATTCTTTTTCCTCCATGCCTCAAGTCATCAGGAGAATTATATCACTTGGTGTCCTTTGATTCTTTTCCATTCGCTACTCCCGTGTCTGTTCTGTTAGTGTAATAAAAGTGTCCGAAGAAGGTTGAACACTAGAATCAGGAGATTACCCCAGTCCTCAAATTTGATTGCTACTGGTTTTTTTGGACATTTTTATGGACATTAATGTGTACTTTGTATCAAAAGCACCAGTTTATGACACTTAATTTTTAGAATGCTTTTTTTGGGAAAGGTGTTTTGGTGTGCATGTAAAACATGTTGCATTCTCTGTACACACTTGCAAAACATGTACAGCATAAGAAGAAATTAAAACATGAACTTCACCCTCATGTCTATGAGTTTGCCATTAGCCAATAATGCACTGAGGCTACTAAAAATGTTAAAGCAATCTCAGACTTTCTTAACAAAACCATAATAGTGTGATCATGAAAAATAATACACCCAACAGCTAAATGTGTCATTTACACTAATATCATTATGCCCACCTTGCAAAATGATCACTATAAGTCTAACCTCTTTTCAGAAAAAAAAATTAAGGAGACAAGTTACTGAATTCTGTTGTGCAAATGGGAAATTGAAGTTGATAATATGACTATTGTAATGAGTGAAGAAGCACTAATTTGCTCACAGGGTATAGTACATATTAGTAGTTTACATTAGAAATTTTTGTTGCATGATACCTTGGTGTGAAATGTGATGTGATGAACATAAGAGATGGTATTGAAAAATGCCTTGTCAGAGGATGGGACACCATGGGTGCATAAAATTTCCCTTTCCGTGTCTTGAATGCTTCTTAGATCTACTCTGGTGGGCTTTGATATAATCTGAGCATATTTAAGGAGTGGTTGCAGGGAGGAGAAGAATATTCATATAACCCAATGTTACTGTGCAATAAAACAAAATGTACCCTGCTTCTCTAAATGGGAGATAACGCCCAGAATCATATTGGTTATACGTGCTGCTATAGGAGCATTTGTTTCAGTGACAAATTGATAAAAACTAAAATATCAGCATAAGCAATTCCTATTACAGTGGTGCCTCGCTTAACGGGCGCTCCATTTGACGACGAAATTGCTAGATGTGGATGTTTTTGCGACTGCAAAAGCGATCGCAAAACAATGTTCCCTATGGGGGAATTTCGCTTTGCGATGATCAGTTCCCTGCTTCGGGAACCAATCATCGCAAAGCGATGATTTTCGGCCAGCTGATCGGCAGTTTCAAAATGGTCACCAGGTAAACAAAATGGCCGCCCGCTCTTTTCTGGCACGGATTCCTTGCTGCACAGGCAGCGAAAATGGCCGCGCTATGGAGGATCTTCGCTGGACGGTGAGTTTCAAGCCCCTAGGAATGCATTAATCGGGTTTTAATGCATCTCTATGGGCTTTTTAAAATCGCATTACGACGTTTTAATTTTACAGCGATTTCGCTGGAACGAATTAACATCGTAATGCGAGGCACCACTGTATATAGTAATCATGTGACTTGGTATGTGATAGAAAACGCCCACTCTGATTTCTTAACTTGTGGCAGTTCACTGAAAGTTATGACTAAAGGTGGGGCTATTCATATACAAATACCCCCCCACAGCTGGACGTAATGAGGGTCCACTAATGTGTCCATCAGTGGCAGGTCTGCTGTCCTTTCCAATTGCTCTGGAGCTCCTGGTCAGCTATCCAGTCCTGGCAGAAGGAGGGAAGACGAGTCTCCCTGCCAGGCTGATGAAGGGATAGCCAGCTGGGAGCTCCGGAGTAATTGGAAGGGAGGGCGGAACCTCTGCTGCCGGCGGACGCATCAGTGGACATTCTAACCCCAGGGGGCCGAACCCTTATTACGTCCAGCTGTGGGGGGTATTCGTATATGAATATGAATACCCCCATCTCTAGTTATGGCCCAGACATAGGACTACAGAAATATACAATAGGATTCTAGCCAATGAATAGCTAGTATACTTGTTTATTATATGATTAAGTTAATGTAAAACAAAAACAAGCGCAGTTATGAAAACTTTTCCTAGTATGTTTGTGTTTTATATCCTGCATTTTCTTCAGCATGTTTTCCCAGCTATTGCAAACAAAAATCTCTAAGTGGGAAGACAGTAACTGGCTAGAAAGAATTGTTGTGCTAAACTCTGGGTCCATGATATTGTTGGACTACAGCTGCCAGAAGTCCTGACCACTGGTTGTTCTGGGTAAGGCTTCTGGGAGTTGAATCTAATAACATCTGGACTACCAAACTCACTGGGGGAAGTGGTAAAACAGTTCTTTACTTACCTTAAAAATCCAGTTAAGGTCTTGACAGCACAGAACATACATTTTTACATAGTGTAAAACAGGGGTGTCCAACCTTTCACCTTCCCTGTGCCACATTAGAAGATGAAAATTTGGTTTGGGCCGCATGGGGGGGCAGCCCTAGTCGTCCTCGGCAGCCCTGCTCCAAGCGCGCTTACCGGCAGCTGCAATCTCAGATAGCAGAGGCTGCCAGCTTCGACTCCGGTGGCTTTATGGGGCCGGGAGGGGGTTCACCTATTGACAGAGACAGCGCAATGCAGTCACGCAGCTCCCCTCTCCCCTACTGCTCCTTCCTTCCGTCTCTCCCCCCCTCCCCGTTATGACATGCCCCAGCCACTTTCTGGCCGCAAGTGCCAGCAGTGTAACTTGAAACTTTGGAATTTCTTTAAAAATAAAAAATTGCACTGGGCCGCATTATGAGCCGACCTGGGCCGCATGTGGCCCTCGGGCTGCAGGTTGGACAAGCCTGGTGTAAAATATGAATTGTTTAGCAAAACTGCTAGTCTAGAAATGTGTACAGTATTTGTATATATGGGTCCCTATTAGGGTTGCTATAAGTCAGTTCTGACCTGATGTCACAACTATCTCTCTCTCACACACACACAGAGTATGTGTCATGAGCAAGGGCACATGCACTTATGTGTGTTAAATTACCTGTTTCAGATTATGTCTGAGTGGAAATTTGCATTTGGACCTGAAAGACGTTAATATCATATTGTAACGATTGCTTCAATTTTGTACTGAAATAGCACATCAGATTTGTTCTGTTTGACAAATTGGGATGATGAAGGAACCTTGCAAAAAATAAACTATATTTCAAAGTGGTTGTTGTGGATTTTTCGTGTTTTTGGCCATGTTCTGAAGGTTCTTCCTAACGTTTCGCCAGTCTCTGTGGCCGGCATCTTCAGAGGACAGCACTCTGTGGACTACGTATATTTCAAAGTCCTTACTTATGAGCATCATGTTGCAATAACAGTGGGTTTTTAAAAGGTACCGAAGAAATTAAATCTCTTGAGGAATTAGCTACTCTAATTTTGAAATAAGTACCATCTTAATCAGTAAATATTCTATGAGTGTTTAATATTTATCACTTGAGAAATTTGACTGCCATTTGATTAAGTTCTTTTGTGTCACCTGTGGAATTTGCCTCTTGGCTGACCATGTTCTGTTTCAGATTATTAATAACTGGATATTTCTGAATACTGTACTGTATATCTGTGCCTTTGTTATTATGCATGCATTCCCTCTCAGGTTTACTACTTTGAAATGCAGGTGAATGACTGAGTCTTGTGGGTTCTCGCCTTAAATGGCAACTACCTCCCTGCACATAGAAGTGTCTGGTTTTAGCTAGCTTTTCTTTGAGTTCATTGTGCAGTGAGATATTTTTCTAAATTGGTCTGGGAGCATTCAAGCATGCAATCACAGACTTCCATTCTGAAATGATAACAGCCTGATACCACACTATGTAAATTGGTATATATGTTGTTTGGCTTTTGAGAGATTTTTATAAAGTGTTCCATTTGAAAGCTCAATCTGTCTTTGTATTGGTGGACTCAGTCAAATTAAACATGATTTGCCATTGCAAAGCAGAGGAAAGACGAAGTGCCTTCTCAGGCTGCCCTCCCCATTCCTCTATTGT